AGGAATGCGTCTGCTGCACTTTTGAGAAGGACACTGCGGCCCCCACAGAACCGGACAGTTGCCCAGGGTCACTGAGTGACCAGGGCTGGGGGTCCTCATTCCTAGGTTGGGCTCCTCTCCTGGAGAACAGCAGGGAGCAGAGGCTGGATCCTAGGGAAGGGAGCCCCGCCCCCCCATGCCATCCCGGGGACAGCCTTGGGTTGGTTACCTGGCATGAAGAGTGTGTGGGCCAGGCAGGAAAGGGAGCAGCTTTCCACACCGCCCACCTTGCTGCAGGACAGCTGGGCCTGGGGTGAGGCCTTGGCCCGAGAAAGGCACTTGCCCGTCTCTGAGGAGAAGGAAGACACAAGAGGGGCTTGAGGGGCCAGGGGTGGCTTTCTGGAGCTGGCAGGGCCCCTGAGCATGGACCAACAGGAACTCCCACCACACGTCCGTCCCCTGGCCAGACCGTCTTGGTGGGAGGGGGCTGGGAGATGGCAGGGTCCACATCCGTTTGGACGTAGGGGGACGCTGGGCCCAGGGAGCGGTTTGCTCCCTTCTCCCTCCAACACCAGTCCAGGCTCTCTGTGAGAAGGTCCACTCCCTGTGCCCCGATCCAAGGGCAGGGCTGGATCCTCCAGAGCAGGTGTCCCTGCCCATCTGGGGAAAGGAACGGCTGAAAATGGCCATGGGCTTCTTGGCAGTGACTAAGCACGGCAGGGTCACCGGGAAGCCCTCTCTGGGGCAGCCCCCAGACACAGCCATTAGGTGTTCGAAGATGTCCAAAACTGAGCTCTTCAGAGTTTCTCGTGTGGAGTCGCCCCAGGGAACAGGCTGAAACAGGGGACTTAGCTGGAATAAGAAATTGCAGTGGGGGAACTGCCAGTCTGCGTGATCTTAAACATGTGGCTGAACATTTTCAAGGAAGACTCTTAAAAGGACACAATCTAGAAACGAAAACAAACTCATGGCCCTCCCGATGAAACATCTGGCCCCCAAACAAACTCAAGACCAAAAGGCCTTTGCTCCCAAAGGATCAAGAAACTATGAACAAAAACACCTGCAGATAATACAAACCAAAAGGGCCGCTGAAGAACCCGTGTTCTCACTGGTTAAGAAACAGAAGGACAACCATCCACAACCATCCAAGGGAGACGTAAGCCCCCAGCAGTTCCCTATACTTCCTCTGACTTCCTGGAGGGGATTGTCAGCAACTATAGACGGACAGCACAGCTTTCTTGTGCGCGCCTGGCCCTGCACGTGCCCGCACATCCTTGTGGGGATGTGGGGTATGCAGATCACTGATGCGTCTTTCCCGGAGCCATTTCTCGGGGTTTCGTTGACAGCAAGCACCTTCTAGGGATGAGGTAACATCTCCCTCCAGACAAGAGCAGCCTGGCTTCCGTTCACTACAAAAGCGAGGGGTGAGTTTCCCAAGCTGGGCGCCCTTCAGCCGGGATGCAAATTCCCTGTCTGCGCATCCTCCTGGGTGGACGGGACCCGGGGGTCTGCTGGCTGTGCTGTGAGTTGGACTCTGACCCGGGGGTCCCACGAGTCCTGCTGGCGCCCACGGAACAGGGGCAAGCTAGCTTACTCAGCTCGCATGCAGATGAGATCTGACTCTCCGCTGTGTAAACCATCCATCCCACCACCTTAGGACATCGAAGCCCTCAGAGAAAAGTGTAAAGTCGCCTAAAAAGCAAGAGGGAAGGTAAATCGACTGGCAGTAAGGAAAAAAAGGGGAAAAAAGGACATTTGCCTTATCGTAAGTATATCTGGCTGTGAGAGAATATGCAAGAAGATGAGCAGAAGCAAATTTGCAAAGGGTCAGGGATTTGTAAAAGGCTTGAGGGGACATGAACTTGATTTGCTTTGGTTTATTAAAACCACTCAAGTAAAAACCATAATTCAAAAGGAGTCATGTACCGCAATGTTCATTGCAGCTCTATTTACAATAGCCAGGACACGGAAGCAACCTAAGCATCCATCGACAGATGAATGGATGAAGAAGATGTGGCACATATATACAATGGAATATTACTCAGCCATAAAAAGGAAACGAAATTGAGTTATTTGTCGTGAGGTGGATGGACCTAGAGTCTGTCATAGAGAGTGAAGTAAGTCAGAAAGAGAAAAACAAACACCGTATGCTAACACATATATATGGAATCTAAAAAAAAAAATGGTTCTGAATAACCTAGAGGCAGGACAGGAATAAAGATGCAGACATAGAGAATGGACTTGAGGACACGGGGAGGGGGAAGGGGTAAGCTGGGACAAAGTGAGAGAGTGGCATGGACCTACATACACTACCAAATGTAAAATAGCTAGTGGGAGGCAGCCGCAAAGCACAGGGAGATCAGCTCGGTGATTTGTGACCACCTAGAGGGGTGGGATAGGGAGGGTGGGAGGGAGGGGATATGGGGATATATGTATATGTATAGCTGATTCACTTTGTTATAAAGCAGAAACTAACACACCATTGTAAACTAATTATACTCCAATAAAGATGTTCAAAAAAAAAAAGAAAGAAAAAAAACCCACTCAGGTAGTGGGACTTTCTAACAACCCTCAGTTCTTTCCCGAGTTCCAGCCTGTAACTGCTCCTTTGGGATCATTATCAGAAAACAAGCCTTCCTTCTCTAGGTCAAAGGCCCTGCACGTACTGTGGGGAGGGATCTCCTCTGCAAATGGAACTGCCAGCTAAAATACACCTACAGGGTTATTGTTAGAAGTCTCAGAAAATTCTCCTACACATGATTCAGATTACAGCTGATGGGAACCTTAATATACCTCTATTATGTATGATCAAAAAACTGAATCCCTGGGGCAAAGTTTCCACGACATCAGCAGAACGACTGGAGAAGAGCCCAGGAAGAGTCCAGACTGAGTCCTCCCTGAGTGCCAGAAATCCTTTTTTTTTTTTTTTTTTTTATTTTGGTATCAACATGCAAAGGTTAGGCCAGGCTCTTAGGGGACAAACTCAACAACTTGGGGAGCATCCGTGACCAAGCCTTGTCCTTCCTGCCTCAGAGCAATCACAGCCTTGGATAAAGTAGCTGAAACGTCTTCAGATCTTGTACCAGAACCACGTTTCAATCTGAGGGTACCACATGCAGTACGCTCCCTCCTGTGACCTGAAAACACCCAGTACTTTTTCTGCTTGTCAGTGAACTAATCATGGTGTCTGGTTCCTTTCTCTTTCTCATACTACCATTGAGCAACTCTCCTACCCCTTCCTCTTTTTTTTTTTTTTTTTTTTTTTTTTGGCCGCACCACATGGCTTCTGGGGGTCTTAGTTCGCGGACCAGCGACTGAACCCCGGCCACAGTCATGAAAGTGCCGAGTCCTAACCATTGGACCGCCAGGGAATTCCCTCTCCTACCCGCTTCCTGAAGGAGAGACTCATCTCTGTGTGTCTGTACTTCAGAAGTGTTCATATCCAGAACAGATCTTTTGGATTCTCCACACCAAATCCCAATTTAATATTGTTTTGTTGATGGGACTTATCTTAAAAAATGAAGAGATCCTGGGCTTCCCTGGTGGCGCAGTGCTTGAGAGTCCGCCTGCCGATGCAGGAGACGCGGGTTCGTGCCCCGTTTCGGGAGGATCCCACATGCCGCGGAGCGGCTGGGCCCGTGGGCCATGGCCGCTGAGTCTGCGCGTCCGGAGCCTGTGCTCCGCAAATGGGAGAGGCCACAACAGTGAGAGGCCCGCATAACGCAAGAAAAAAAAAAAAAAAAAAAAAAAAAGAAGAGATCCTAAAATCCATATGGAAATTCAAGGGAAGTTCGAGAATAGCCAGATCAATCTTGAAATATGAAAAACAAAGTAGGAGGACTCACATTTTATGATTTAAAAACACTATAAAGCTACAGCGGTGTATAAGTATGAAGAGAAACAAATAGATCAACGGGACAGAACTGACAGAGTCCAGAGACAAATCCATACATTTACGGCCAACCGATTTCAAGAGGATGTCAAGATAATTCTATGGGGAAAAAGGATGGTTTTTCGGGCTTCCCTGTGGCGCAGTGGTTGAGAGTCCGCCTGCCGATGCAGGGGACACGGGTTCGTGCCCCGGTCCGGGAAGATCCCACGTGCCGCGGAGCGGCTGGGCCCGTGAGCCACGGCTGCTGAGCATGTGCGTCCGGAGCCTGTGCTCCGCAACGGGAGAGGCCACAACAGTGAGAGGCCCGCGTACCGCAAAAAAAAAAAAAAAAAAAAAAAAAAAGCATGGTTTTTCTTCAACAAATGATGCTGTGACACTTGAAGAGCCACATGCAAAAGAATGAAGTTGGACCCCTATCTCACACATATAAAATTAATTCAAAATGGATCAAAGACCTAAATGTAAGAGCTAAAAATATAAAGCTCTTAGAAGAAAACAGGTGTTATCTTTGGGAACTTAGATTAGGCAATGAACAGTTTCTTAGAAGTGACATAAAAAACACAGGCAACCAAAGGAAAAAAGAGAGAAACGAAAATGAAAAACTTTCGTGATTCAAAAGACACCATCAAGAAAGTGAAAAGACAACTCATAGAATGAGAAGAAAATCTTTGCAAATCTCATATCTAGTAAGGGACTTGTATCTAAAACATATAAAGAATTCTTACACCTGAATAATAAAGACAAAGAACCCAATCAAAAAATGGGCAAAGGATCTGAATAGACATTTCTCCAAAGAAGATATACAAATGGACAATAAATACATGAAAAGATACTCAACATTATTAGCCATCAGGGAATTACAAATACAAACCACAATGAGATACCATTTTACACCCAGTAAGGTGACTATAATCAAAAAGTCAGCTAATAACAAGTGCTGGTGATGATGTGGAGAAACTGGAGCCCTCACACACTGCTGGAGGGAATGTAAAATCGTGCAGCCACTTTGGAAAATAGTCTGGCAGTTCCTCGAAATTTAAACACAGGGTTACCATGTGACCCAGCGATTCCACCCCTAGGTATATACCCAAGAAATTTGTAAACATATGTTCATACCGAAATTTGCACATGAATATTCATAACAGCATTATTCATAATAGCCCAAAACTGGAAACAACCCAAATGTCCATCGACTGATGAGTGGATAAACAAAACGCAGTATAACCATACAGTGGAATGTAACTCAGCAATAAAGAGGAATGAAGCACTGACACATGCTACAACGTGGGTGAACCTTGAAAACATTATGCTAAATGAAATGTCAGTCACAGAAGGCCACACATTGCATTCCACTTACATGAAATGTCCGGAGTAGGCGAATTCATAAAAGACAAAAGTCGATTATGGTTGCCTAGGACTGGGGGGCTTGAGGGAAAATGGGGAGCGACTGCATGGGG